CATTCTGCAAGAAAATCTCATCTGGATGGTATGGACTGGAGATGGGGTTTAGGTTGCCTTCAATGTGAAGTTGCTCCAGGTTTGAGAATACCTATTTAGAGCTACCAGATAAGATAGTATATATTCAGGTACTCCTAGTTTGTAGAGATAGTGGTTAAGTTTTGAAGTGCAGCAGCTCATTGTGATTGTGTGTGCGTGTGCTCATTCACCAGCAGTAGAGAGCACAAATGATTTCACCTCAGCTTTTCACTTTTACATAGGAGTAGGGCCCTATGAGGGGTGGAAGCACTAGGCCTGCCTCAGAAACCTTTTTGTTCAGCTCCAATTAACTTACACGTGAAGAGGAACAGAAGAGAGTCCTTTTTTTCTACACAGTTAATTGTTTTCCAGCCTAATTTGCTGTTGTATTCAGTCTTCAATTAGACTTTGTGTATATCTGCCTTAGTGAAAGGACATAAGACAAAAGCAGAGAATGACAGTGGGTTTCTGAACAAACTTCATAGCCTTGCATTGCAATCCATAGATTGTTGCACAGTTCTCTCTGAATAAAAAGTGGCATCAAGGATGTGGACCGAAAGGTAAAAAAAAAATTGACAGACGTTAGCCAAAAGCAAATCCTTACATGTGGCTGAAAGGCATCTTGGCTGTAGTTTATACCCGGGATGTCAAACTGGTGGTCTGTGGGCCGGATGCGTCACGTGCAGGCCACACCCATCCCAGCTACGCAAAGGGGAAAAACAGCAACACGTCACGTGACGGCAACATGACGCCACGAGTTTGACACCCATGGCTGGCTGAAATCCTGAAAGAAGAGATCCACACCTCTTCAAGTTGCCATTGCCAAGGCTGAAAAACACTGATTTAAACTGTTCTAAGCTGTTTTGGTGTATGTAGGGACACATATAACTATAATAAGTAGGGAGCAAGAAGATTGTGTAGCTGTAGGGTGAGTTAATTAACATGTTAGACTAAAATGTGGTTGGCTAGATTATAGTTCAGGATACTGTATTGCACAAACTGAGCCAGTATAGTTAGTTGCAATGAGTCATGTGAATCTAGGCAACGAGTTAATTTAGTACAGGAAATCCTCGACTTACATTTTCATTTAGTGAGCATTCAAAGTTACAACGGCATTGAAAAATGAGACTTATGACCATTTTTCACATTTACAACCATTGTGACATCCTCATGCTCATGTGATCAAAAGTCAGATGCTTGGCAACTGACTCACGAGGGCTGCAGTGTCCTGGGATCATGCAACCTTCTGACAAACAAAATCAATGAGGAAGCCAGATTTATTTAACAACCATGTTACCAACTTAACAACCACACTGATTCACTTAACAATTACAGCAAGAAAGGTTGTAAAATGGGACAAATGTTTCACTTAACAACATAAATTTTGGGCTCAATCGTGGTTGTTTAAGTCGAGGACTATCTGTATAGAATCCTGAGAATATGAACTTTAGGATTAAAAAGATGCCATTGCAGGATTTATTCAGTCTATTGCCTTCCAGATAGGCTTGAGAGCATCAAATTGGAGATATTTATTTACTTATTACGGGTGAGATGATGATGTGCTAAAAAAACCACAAAGACCAAAAGGGAGAATGGATAGGATGATTAACTTGCATCACATGTTTCTAGCTCTTGAGGTATGTGTAATTTTATACATTCAGGCAGTCCTCAATTTACGACCCGTTGCTTAGTGACTGAAGATATAAGATCTGGTCTTATATTTCAGGGTGATCAGCCCAGCTAAGTGCCCCACCCACCTGGCACGTGCACAAGGGGCAGCAATTGCACAGGGACTGACAGTATCCAGCAGCAGTTTCAGCCCACCAGTCCCTTGGTGCACTCTGAGGCTGCACAATCTGCGCAATGCAGGTGAGTTGATTTCCCTGTCCAAGCAGCAGACGGAGGCAGAGGTGTGCAGGGGGGGGAGGCATGCGATCCAGACATGCTGCAGGAAAGGCAAGAGATGCCCGACTCTTCGGACCGTCTTGGTTTTCCCACGGCCCACATGGTGCGTCTGGATCGCATACTGCGCCCCCCCCCCCCCGCACTTTTGCCTCTGTTGCTTGGACAGGGAATCAACTCACCTGTTCTGCACAGGCTGTGGCTGCTGCCAGACACCGTCCGCCTGCACACACTCACCGCCTCCTGTGCTGGCCATGCCCACTTCCCTTTACTAGGGCTTATTTTCAGGGTAGGCCCTATTTCAGGGAAACAAGTATATATAGTGCAATTTATTACAGCCAGTCCAGCAAGATTTACTTATATCATGATGGCTTATAAAGCTGAAATTGTTATTTTTAATTTGGTGACAGAATGACTGCTCTGAGGCAGTTTGTATTCCTTGAAGCACAAAAACTACACATTGATGAAAGCAGGAAAATAATAATTTATTTTGCAATGCTGGACTTTCCAGTTGGATACTATGTAATCATAAATTCCATACTATAGTGTCAGAAAAGGGTAAATGAGCTAAAAAATTGGGCCAGTTTCAGTCTTTCCTAATCAAGCAAAAAGATCTTCAGCTGTTTGTTGAAAAACTATCAGCAAAACAAAATGAGACAGGCAACCCCAGGGATTAAATTCAACTCACTCTGCCAATACAGGTAGTCCTCAACTTACAACAGTTCATTTAGTGACCTTTTGACTTACAATGGCACGGAAAAATGAGACTTATGACCATTTTTCAGAGTTATAGCAATAGAACTTAACTTATATACCGCTTTATAGTACTTTATAGCCCTCTCTAACAAGTTTTACAAAGTCAGCATATTGCCCCCGACGATCTGGGTTCTTATTTTACTGACCTCGGAAGGATGGAAGGCGGAGTCAACCTTGAGCCTGGTGGGATTTGAACAGCCAAATTGCAGGCACACTATAGTCAGAAGTGGCCTGCAGTACAGCACTCTAACCACTGCGCCAAGGCTCAGTGCAAAAGTTATGACTTTTGCAGCATCCCCACAATCACATGATCAAAATTCAGATGCTTGGCAATTGTTTCATGTTTATGACCAGTGATCAGCTTTTGTGACCTTCTGATGAGCAGTCAATGGGAAAGCCAGACTCACTTAACAATCATGTTACTAATTTAACAACTGCAGTGATTCACTTAACAAATATGGCAAGAATGGTTATAAAATAGGGCAAAACTCACTTAACAAATGTCTTACTTAACATAAATTTTGGGCTCAATTGTGGTCATAAGTTGAGGACTACCTGTATTCAGCTGATACTGTTTACTGAATATTAAATGTTTACTCATTTTTCTTTTCATGCTTTTCTAGTATATTTATGGAGCACAATTTAAGTTCTAGTTTTTATGGCATTAGGGCATAGTGATTGGCTGATTAGTTTTGCATTAATTGAGAAAAATCAGCAAACTCAGCTTGTAAACTTGAGGATTTCATGGCAGTGCGACAGAGTGCAATTAATGTTGCTAGTTTCTGGGCAAGATCTGTTTAATTTGTACATATTTTCATCTTGTATTTTATATTTTAAAATTTATGTCATATAGTATGCCTTGTGATGCTTCTGACACAAACAGCAATCCTTTGTCTTAGAAGAAATATCGTGCCAGATGGTATGCTTTGTATTGTAAATTTCCACAGAAGGAATGAGAACAATGAGCGTGATTACTTACTGTAATGCGAAAGTAGAAATAGTAGCATTAGAAAATACTGTTCAAAATATAGAACACAGTATTCAAAATGTTACTGCATGCCTACTAATCACATTAAAAAGAAGTCACAACTCCTAGGCATTGATATAAAGGTCTTCATTTTTGAAGACAACAATCTAAACACAACAATCTAATTCTTACTTCTGACTAGATAAAGGTACAATTTTTAAAATCATAAATGTTGAAGAAGCCCCAGTTGTCTGCACTTCTTCAACACATTAAACTATAATGTGCTTTGATTTGATGTAGCTGATGTATAAGCCGAGTCCAGTGTTTTCCAGGAAGAGCCCAATAAATCAGTATTGATTGCCTTTATTAGACAGACGGGGAGAAGCAGGACATTAGCAACAACACAGGACGGGTGGGCTAAAGCTAAATTGGGGGATGCGAATAAAAACGTCAGTTTTCAAGGAATAAAGCCCAATTTCATCCTTTGACTGCCGCGCACGTATTTAACAAGGCGGCCATACATTATTTCTCCTCCGGAATGTATGGAGGATTGCTTACATATCGCGGGTCGACTTTCACCCGCGCTTGAAAGCGGCAACCGAAAATTATGGATGAAAAGAAATGCCATTTGACCAAATGGAGACCTGCTTTCAACCAGTTCGATTCCGAACGAAAAGAGCGCAGGCATTGCCAACGCGTCTCCGCATTCTAGACCTCGCCGTCAGTGACCTCACTGACTAAGAACCTCCCGGGCTGCGTTCAATGCCCCCCCCCACTTTGTACCCGCCTGCTAACACACCGTCTCCTCTACCGGAAAAAGGTACACCCAGGACGCAGCGGATGTGGGGCGTGGCCAAGACTCATTACAAAAAAAAAAAAAAGCCATTCAGAAACCAGATCGAATTATAGCCTAAGGTACTCTCGGCGCGCTGATTTCCACCCCCGCCCCCTCCCTCCCTCACCCTCCCGCAGCCGACCTTGATCTTTCTCTTATTGGTTGTAGGCAAAGCGAGAAGAAGGCTCTCGCCGCTTCCCGATTGGCCGGGATGGTTAAAAAAAAAAAAAGCGGTAAGCGAAATTAATTATTCACGAGCCCCGTCGGGGAGTTGAAAGAAAGGCGGCGGGAGAACCACGCCCCCTCCCCCCCTCCCGGTCTCATTTACATACGGGTAAGGCACGCCCCTCCCGGAGGTATCCAGGAAGGAGAAGCGGCGCGAGGAGGAGTTGTGTGCTCGCTTGCAGGGTAAGGTGGGCTTAGCGCCAGTCCTCCGGCGGGGCGGGAGGATGGGTGGGTGGGGTGCGCGCGCGGGGGGACTGTGGGGTGGGGGTGGGGGTTGGGACTAGGGTGTCCCAGTTCGAGGAACGGAGCGGCGAGGGGAGAGGAAGGCGGCCGGCAGGTGAAGAGGCTCCTCGGAGGGATGGGGTGGGGGAAAGGAAAGAAAGGAAGCGAAGAGGCTCGTTTGGACGGCTGTGGGGGGGGGGGGGGGGGGAGTGGCGTTGAAGGGTGGACTCCCGAGTGCCGAAAAGGTGAGCTGGGCTCCGCTGAGGTGGGGAGGGAAGCGGCGGTGACTTAACAACTTCCAAGTCGGTCGGTTTCTGCGTGCCGCGCTCTGCTCGGGCTTCAGAAATAGGCGCGGTAAGTGGGGAAAACCGGGGTGGAGGCTGGCAGAAGGAAAGAGAGTTTATAGGTATCGGGCAGGGTGTTTCCGATGCGGGCGGGAGCCGATAGAGGAGATTTAGAGGCTGAATCGGGAGCCTTAGAGTGGAAGGGGTTGTGTGTGTGTGTGGGGGGGGGGGGGGGGCTTCAATCACAGATAATCAGAGTTGGAAGGGATCTTGTAGGTCATCTAGTCCAACCCCTACCCAAGCTTGGGTTTTGAGGGGGGTGGCCCCAAATAAGCCACCCGGAGTTGCCTTTGCATTGCGAGGTGGGCGGTGTATTTAATATGAGCAAATTAATGTTATTAAATAACATTTAATATGAATAAATCGATCTGCTACAAGCCCAGTGAGAGAGGTGTGAATACTCGAATTAGGATTAAACTTTGCAGGGTCCTTGGCCGTCATAATGACTCTGGTCCTGGCCGTTCTCGCCTCTTTCAACGCATGGAATAAGGTGGATGGTATTTCAGGAATGCTTTAACTTGTCTTACAGGTGGAGACAGTAGGTTAAAAAGCAAACAATGAGTTCCTGGGTATTTTGGGGAGGGGGAGGAGGGTGGGTTTTTGTTTTGCTTTTCTCCTGTTACTGCTACCTGTTTTCAGGTGATTCTTATAAGTGCTGCCCAGATAATTCTGGCTTTCTGTTTCCCTTTTAAGAGTTGATGTAGAGATCTGTATTTCATAGAACAAACCTACGGAAGGAAACCTAAAGGAAAAAAAAAGCCAGATCAGTGTGGAGATTGTGGTTTTAATGCAAGCAATCTAGGTTGGAACAAAGTGTTGTGTCTTGGGGCCAATACACATGCTTTTTAAATGAGTCTTGTATGATAGAGTTTTCTTAAGTTGAATATTACATGTATGCCACCTTGAGTTGTACAAATATAAAGGTGGAATATAAATCTAATAGTAATTTAAAGTTGTCCCATTATTGCCAAGGTTCTATACACTGCATTCAACTGCCGTGTGATCTGTTCGATTTACAACTTAGTATACTGAGTGAGCCTAGCCAGTTTTAACTGATTTAACAAACCATGTAATACAGGTAGTCCTCGACTTACAACAGTTCATTTAGTGACCGTTTAAAGTGACAATGGCACTGAAAAAAGTGTCTTATGACTGTTTTTCAGATTTAATGACAGTTCCAGTATCCCCATAGTCACGTGACTGAAATTCGAATGCTTGGCAACTGACTCGTATTTATAATGGTTGCAGTGTCCCAGGATCATGCGACCATCTTTTGTAACCTTACAAGAAAATTCAATGGGGAAGCCAGATTCACTTAACTCTGTTACTAACTTAACAACTGCAGGGATTCACTTAACAACTGTGGCACAAAAGGTCTTAAAATGGGACAAAATTCACTTAACAAATGTTTCACTTAGCAGCAAAACTATTGGCTCAATTGTGGTCATAAGTCTACATGTAGCTGTATGGACTTAGCTGCGAAATTAGATAACTTTTGTTTAAGGATCCAGAATTGGATCAAATTTAGACCTATTTGTGAAACTGCTTAAAGAGGCTTGAAACAGTGAATGTTTCTGCCAATAAAGTTTAAGAAAAACCGAATCTCCTTTGTAGTCTTTGTCGGTATGAACTAATAAAATTTCCCACTTAAAGAGATTAGTCTGTTGAGTATCATCTTCTAAGCAAATAAGAGAGTGAGTGCCAATTCTTCCTGACCCCCTGTTTACTTAGGGGTCTCAGTGACCTGACAATCTACATTTTTCAAAACCATAAAAGATTGAAAAATTAACTGCATTGTAAGCTGAGAAAAGTTGTCCTGTCTCCCCCCCCCCCCCCCCCCAGACAGAAGTGGGCTGATTTAGTAGATACTAGAACCCTTTAATTTTTACATCATAATTTTTACAACCCAGTTTATTTTTACATCAAACACAAAAATATTTATTTACCATGGTCATTTAGCAGGTTTTTATTTTTACAGTCAAACAATGGTGCACAGACTTATATATGGGTTTAATTCCCTTATCCCCACCCTCTGCCTTTTTTTTGCAGACATTTTTCAGTGAATAAACTAGTGTGTTTGGTTCTTAAAGCTACCTTTGTATATTAAGTTGAGTAAGTTACCTATTCTTGCAGTTTCCTGTGATTAAACACTGGTAAACATGTATGTTTTATGTATTATATGCAGACATTTGGATAATTGTGTTTTTGTATGCAGACCAATGACACATGAATGAGATGCTTAAAAATGAATCCAGCCCACAGGGGAATAGCAATAGCACTTAGACTTATATACCGCTTCATAGTACCTTACAGCCCTCTAAGCGGTTTACAGAGTCAGCACATTGCCCCCAACAGTCTGGGTCCTCATTTTATTGACCTCGGAACAGAGGTGGTATTCAGCAGGTTCTGACCAGTTCTGGAGAACCGTTAGTGCAGTGGCCCCCAACCTTTTTTGTGCCGCGGCCCGGTACCGACATCACAAAATCACCCGTGGCCAGGTACCGGCATCACAAAATCATCCGCGGCCTGGTACCAGCATCAGCACGCATGGCAAGGCGAGCCGAGCGACCGGCCAGCCAGCCGTTCCCCGCTTCTCCCCGCCACCTTCAACTCCTCCTTTGTACCTGTGTCGATGGGCTTCGCGATGGCTTTGGGACAGTCGCTCGGCTCACCTTGCCATGCGTGCTGAAAGAATCCTCACGCCTTAGTTTTGTTCGAAGCCGCCCCCCCCCAATGAAACTAAGGCGCGAGGATTCTTTCAGCACCCAAACGCCGCTTTCTACCCGGAAAAGCTCACTGGAAGCACTTTTTCATCAAAACAAGATGGTGTCGCCCAGCAAACCGGTGGCTTGGTAGAAATTGTTCCACGGACCGGTACCGGTCCAGGGACCGGTGGTTGGGGACCCCTGCGTTAGTGGAAATTTTGAGTAGTTCGGAGAACAGGCAAATAGACCTCTGACTGGCCCCGCCTCCCTCTATTCTCTGCCTCCCAAGTCCCAGCTGATCAGCTGGGTCTTCTTTTGTTGCCCTGCACAGGAGAACGAAGATGGAAAGCAGTTAGTGGGGTGGGGATGAAATGGAGATTTTACAGTATCCTTCCCCTGCCATGCCCACCAAGCTATACCCACCGAGCCATGCCCATCAAGCCACACCACGCCTACAGAACTGTAGTAAGTTTTTTTTGAATCCCACCACTGCCTTGGAAGGCTGAGTCAACCTTGAGTTAGTAAACATAAATGATAATATTTGGTTATTCTGCAGCTGAATTCTAGCACCCACACTAGTTAATAATAATCAGTTGACAGTGATCCTCAGAGCATGTACTTTATAATTGGTGTGTTCATGGTTTTCCTTGGCAATATTAGAAACTCTCAGATTACTGGACCCCCAAGAACAGTTAATTTAAAAAATGGGATTAATTTATGGATAAACATGTAGGGTGTGGGTTACAGATTGCCTCTTCAGAGAGTTAAATTAGAAATTATAATATCTCTTGACAGCACACAGGATAAATGCTACTGTTTTATAAGTTTTCTAGTATAGAGAAGCTACTTATCCTATTTCTTTATGGGCATTAATACAAGTAGTGTATTAATTGATGGCTTAACCAGTGGAAGCCATATGCCATTTCTGATTCAGCTGCACTGTGGAACGTTTGATCACAGAATAGTCTTTTCATAAAGTAAGAAGGCCACATAAAGATTTCTGTCAAGAATTAATTAAATAATGTTGATAATATATCTTTAACCTTTCAGGCCTTTCTGTTTTGTTCGGGTATATAAATATTGCAAGGTGATCTATTTGAAGACTTTAAATTATAAATTCTGAGTGATTATTGAACATTATGTTTTTATCCTGATTTTCAAAAAGGAAATAGTATGCTGCTTGGAGTTGGTTCTGATCGGAGTCACCACTACACCATATAAATAACAATTTTAAAAGAAAAAAAATACTACTTGCCTTTGCTTGACACCAGCAAAATTTTTGTGTGACATTTGTTGTTTTAGTTCTTCAGGTGGGATTAGCAAATAAATTAGCTATTCAATACTATATACGTTATTGTGTATATAGTACAAAAGTGAATGAAAATTGTAGTTTTTAGGATAAAATGAAATTCTTTACAATGGATGATAAATGTGTGGCATAATTTACCTGTTATCAAATGATTTATTGTAGAATCATAATCTGGTTTGAATCTAAATCTTTTCAGCCCTTGTTTAGTGATAGCGTGAGAGTCTTGTGCTTATTATATTCCTTGTTATCTTGTTATAAAACGCTGTAGATACAATTATGATAGTTAATGTTTATACCTCAAACTCTAAAAGAAAACTTAACAATGACTATAAAGGTATTACCTGCTTATATATTTTATTATTTTTTTCAAGCTGCCCTTGTTAATTTTTTTTCAATGTTACATTGTTGTTTTAGCCATTGAGCTCTTTAATAAATGCATGCATCACGCTTAGCCTTAATATGGTATGTTTGATTTTTGCTTAACATGTTGTGTGGACATTATCATTATGCTTTGTAATCCATAGTTTTTAATTAGCAAGTTAGATAAATGCAGTCACGAATTCAAATAAACTATGGTTGAAAAAAAGGTCATGATGTGTGAACCCAGACTATATACCCTGACAATGATCTATGTAATTAAAATGTCAATATTTGTGTTAATTCATAGTTTCATAAACAGTGACATAATGTCTTGGGCAATCTTTTTCTTTTGTTAATTATATATTAGTAATATTCATCAGAGTTTCATCTATAAAGACACTGTGGATCTATATATTTGGCAAGAAAGCTAATTTTGCAAATATGTTTGGTTTACCATATTATTGTTTCATAATGTTCTGTGTGCATATACACATTCCAATTTATATTTTTAAATGTCCTGAATTAGT